GCAGAAATCACCTCAGCATGCGAGAGTCCAAAAGTGACAGGCTAAAACCCAGAATCTCAAACCATGGCTGATACTGGATGAGAAACTCCCCCCGGGCACACAGAAGACTGGGCGACTTGGAAGGCAGTGAACAGATTGCACTCTGGCACCACAAGATGCAGAGCCAACCTTAAGAAATGAAGCTACAAAGTGGCGTCCACGACATGTGAGTATGGAGAAGAGTGAACCACAGATCACCTACAATGCAGTCTGAGCCCTGCCATATGCACAATGGAGGACCTTCTCACAGTGACACCAGAGGCACTCCAAGTGGCCAGCTTCTGGTGGAAGGAAGTCTAGCATAATGCCAAGTTTTTAACTTCATATCTTTTTAGATACATTATAACTGTACCCCTTCTGACACAATAAATAAAGAAGTGGAGATACTCCTACTTAAGAGGTAAAAAGGGAAGCTAAATTGCCAATCTGCATTTTTGAAAGAATCACACAACCCAGTTCTCCTGGAGTTTACTACTAAAGGAAGCTAACGGCATGACGTCTGTTAGTGTTATTTTGCATTTTAGAAGCTTGATATATAATAAAAACAAATATATCAGTCAAAGATTCTATGCCATTCTTCTCTCTAGAATCTGAGAGAGCATGTGTTTCAAAAAGAAAAGAGGTTTTGAAATTGAATGGCTTTCACTTCAGTCATATGGAAATCACTCTCACCTGTCTTCCAAAGTGGTCTCCCAGGAGGTTTGCACAATGGGATTCTTCTGAACATTCAGATCAGTCCTTAATTGGATACAGTATTTTTCATTCTTTCGTCTCTTGGCTGGTAATTATTATTGAAACCTGTTGACACAACACTTTTATCTATATATAGCACTCAGAACCTCTTGTGTACTTTTACAAATATTAAATGATGATGATGAAAATTAGTGGCGCCCCTATACTGAATCTGAGGATTACAAGAAGACGTTTTGTTAGAAGCTTTACTATTATACAAAGCAAAATATGTGTTTTAAACAAAATCCAGAAGCCCATCCTTTTACTGAGACTAAAACATTATAAAGAAAAAGGCACAACTAGAGTAAATGAGGTATAAATACAAAATTAGAATAGTACTTTTAAAGATTCAAAGAAATACTATATTTTTTCAACTGACTGTTCTTAGTGATTAGCAGTATTGTTTGAAACAAAATTGCCAAATGTTGTTTATTCATTCAGTCACTTCTGACTCTTCATGACCACATGGACCAGTCCATGCCAGAGCTCCCTATCAGCCATCTCCACCCCCAGCTCCTTCAGAGTCAAACCAATCACTTCAAGGATACCATCCGTCCATCTTGCCCTTGGTCAGCCGCTCTTCCTTTTTCCATTCATTTTCCCCAGCATCATTGTCTTCTCTAAGCTTTCCTGTCTTCTCATAATGTGGCCAAAGTACTTCATCTTTGCCTCTAATATCCTCCCCTCCAATGAGCAGTCGGGCTTTATTTCCTGAAGTATGGACAGGTTGGATCTTCTTGCAGTCCAAGGCACTCTCAGAACTTTCCTCCAACACCACAGTTCAAAAGCATCTATCTTCCTTCGCTCAGCCTTCTTTATGGTCCAGCTCTCACATCTATAGGTTACTACGGAGAATACCATTGCTTTAACTATGCAGATCTTTGTTGCCAGTGTGATGTCTCTACACTTCACTATTTTATCAAAATTGGTCATTGATGTCCTCCCAAAAAGTAAGCATCTTCTGATTTCCTGGCTGTGTCTGAAGTAAACTTTGCACCTAGAAATACAAAGTATGTCACTGCCTCCACGTTTTCTCCCTCTATTTGCCAGTTATCAATCAATCCAGTTGTCAGAATCTTGGGTTTTTTATGTTTAACTGCAACCCAACTTTCACACTTTCTTCTTTTACCTTGGTTAGAAGGCTTCTCAGCTCCTCCTCGCTTTCGGCCATCAAATGACTAATAGAAAATATATGCCAGAGAATTCATGATAGAAAATTGTGAGTGGTGACTTTGGTCCCACTGTCTCTGCTATGCCTCCATCCAATAGAATCCTGGGACTTGTAGTTTTGTGAGACATTTAGACGTCATTATTGAAGAACTGTTGTTCCTCTGACTAAGCTTCAAATCCCCAGTCCCATAAGACACATCTATAATAAAGTGGGATCAAAGTGTCGTAATTGTGTAAGAGACCCAGGATATTGTTCTTAAAAGAACTATACACACTGCTTGGAGACTACACTTTAAAGCTGTTTCTATTAACTCAGTAAAAAACATCAGAAAAGTCAGCATGTGGAGCTTGCCACTCACAATACAATGATAATGCAATGACAGCAAATACACTCAGCTCACTTTTTGTATAGGTAACAAATTCCCTTTACGATGAAATAATGCAGTAATCTGACATTTTAAAGTAAGATTGAGAAGATACAATTGGATGCAAATAAAATAAAATTATACGGAAGAGTAGTTATAGCTATCCATTTTATTGGCATGATTTACTGATCTTGTATGTTATAGAAATCCTCCAGGGAGTTCAATGAAAGATAAGACAAAAAGAAAGTCAGGTTGGTATATACTGAGGGGGAGAGTACAATGTTTTGCTCTATGCAGCTTTATAGTACAGACAGACCTAAAACACCATGTTCTTAATTACCGTCGTCTTTCTTTTATCTAGGTAAATATAAATTAATGTAAATCTAACTGCAGTGCTGTGATTTTTATATAATCATAACTTTTTATATAAATTATGTTTTGTGTTTAGACATTTCTGAAGAGCAGAATATTTTGGGAATTGAAGTTCTAGCTGGATTTTCTGGATTTCCTTCAACCCCCATCAATATGCCTGCAGCCTCACTTGTTTCTTACACTATGTTCATAATTACTTGGTGAATTAATATAGCCAAATCAGGGAACACTGAGGAACTTCGATAATTAACCTCATGCAGTGTTAGAAAATCCTTGATGAGCCTTAGGGAAGAGAGAAGAACGTGACGGGGTGCTGCATGCTGGTAATCAGGATAAACAACTGCATACTTAATTTGGTTTTTAGAAATCCTGGCAGACAGACCAACCATGCAACCTTAAAGAAATTCCTTATCAGGCTTGAAAAACAAAAAGGATCACAAGCATGTGATGAACCTGGTTTTGTTAACTCTTAATTCTCTCTCCCCCCCCCCTTTAATCACCATATCTGTGTTGAGGCGTCTTAAACTTTTTCCAGTCATGACCTCTTTCTGTCCAATATTTGTTTTTCATGACCTCAGGTATATCAAATAAGTATAAAATCAGTCATTTACTGTTAATAAATAATCATTTGCAAAGCTTGCTTAACAGACCAATTTTCCTTTTTTTTTAAAGTACAGCTGAAACAATTTCTGCAGAGTCTACTGTAAGCACTGCATGTCATTGCTAACAGATTTATTTTATTTTATTTTCAAAGTGATCAAAATAGTTTATTGTACGGGCCCAAGCACCACATGCACACAAGCAGCAGGCACCAAAGATGCTAAGGTAAAGGTAAAGGTAGTCCCCTGACATTAAGTCCAGTCATGTCTGACTCTGGGGTGTGGTGCTCATCTCCATTTCTAAGCCAAAGAGCCAGCGTTGTCCTTAGACACCTCCCAGGTCATGTGGCCGGCATGACTGCATGGAGCGCCGTTAAGATGCTAAACAGATACCATAATCATCCTCTTACAAAGAGCAAAAACAATGCAAGTTAACAATAATTAAAGTACATTTTGGAAGAGGGTCCAGTTAACCCTTAGAGTCTCCTTGGAAGTTGATGGCATTTTATTTAAGTCTGTCTTTCTGGTCTTTTTTGCAGATAGAGCAAAAAGAGCTTCTTTGTAAGTTTGTAAGTTACATAGTCATTGTGTCACTCAGCAGAAACTGCACTGTTTCTGCAATAGAGTTCCCTTTACCTTGTGTCAGCAAGGGTTTCAGGTGTCTTTCTCTTGAGGCAATGGGCAGACCAACAAATAATGCTAACAGATTTGTGTAAATATTAGGCCTGGGTAACAACGGAAAAATTTGTTTCTAAAATCGATTTGTATTTGGGGGGTTTTTTTGTTTCGATATTTAAAATAATTACAAAATTTTCCTTTTAAAAAGTTCGATATTTACAAAATTTTGTAAATGGTAAAAAATTAACGAATCGATTTCCAAAACAATAACGAATCGATTCGTTAATGGCGGACGCGACCGCGAAATACGCTAAAAAACCTCCAAAACCTTCTGAAGCTTCCCTCTCCCTCTGTTGTTGACTGTTGGTGTGATATTATAATTTTTTTTTCACTAATTAAACCATAAAACTGGCCCAGACATGCGGAAATAATAACGAAACGACCTCAAAACAATAACGAAACGAATACAATATCGAAATACGAAGCATTTACAAAACGTTTTTGAAAATTCGTTTTTTTAAATAATTGCTCCAGAATGGTTCGTTATCGTTTTGTAATTGAAAAAATTAACGAATTATTAACGAATTACGAATTAACGAAACGAAACCGCCCAGCCCTAGTAAATATCTAGGTAATTTTCAACAACTTTTTAGTGTTGCCAATTTTTGTGACCCCAACACTGAGTTAAGTGGATCTCATTTGGGGTCAGAATCCACAGTTGTCTATGTAACAATCTGATTTTGGTTACAACTTGCTGTAGAGTGATACATAGAAGGCAGGAGGAATTGTTGACTCTCCAAAGGTCCTAACAAGCATAATCAATGATAAGGGAAGTATAGTCCAAAACATCCAGGATTCCTGTATGTCATCCACATATAACTTCCTGCCTTTCTCAATGGAACTGGCAATATCAAAATAATAAAATTCACGTTTTGAAACTGGACTAGTGATAATATAATAGTGATATTATATTAATAATTCTTCCTACTGATCGATCTTTACCTCTTTGTCAAAGTATTACTTTTGCAGATAATTAACCTTGGCTATTTCCATTGTTGTCTTCTGCTAATGAAGTTGTTCTCTTTTTTCTTTCTTTCTATAACAGAGGTCACAGTCAGCATTCTCACTGACTACTGAAGAAGCTGCAAGCAGAGACGTGGACCTTGCCTCTTCTGTGCCTGAGTCTCTCTGGAAACAACCAAAAGCCCCAGTCAGGCCCCAGAAAGACCACAGGCTGTCTGCATTGCCCAGCTGGAAGAGCGTGGATCGATTAAATGAACCAAGTAAAAGATAGTAGTACCTCCCAGATACTGCTTAATTCTCTAAAAAAAAATAACGTAGGTCTGTAGAGGAAATCAAGGGAGGGAAAGAAGTAAAGGCACAGTACCATCGCAAAGTAATGGAAAATTATCTGATTTTGAAATATCTGAACTATTTTTGACTGAGCAGAGAATCTGCAAAAGATTCTGACTTCCATATTTGTCAAAATTTGGATTTAGTGTGCAAATATTTTCTCCAGAACCAACTACTACACACCATTAAAGTGCCTGATTCATACATACAAATTATAAAATATAAATATTCATAAACCAATGGAAGGATATGAAAAAAATTGCTGAGATTCTGGTAGTGCCTGACTATTAGCATAGTGAGGGTGAAAGCGGTGCTGGCCAGCTTCCTCCTGTTCCTCTGAGTGAGAACACAGGAAGTTCTCTGAGAAGCATCCTAGCACACTGCTGAGATGCTGTAGAAAGAAGACACAGAAGCTTCCATTTGCACACACTAGTCCACATTCAACTAGAGGTACACACATGTACACTTACTTCTGTGAATATAAAATGTCCCCAGTCTTTTTTCTAATCTACTGTTTGTGTTCCATCTCTATAGACAGGCAACTGTTCCAAATCACAAAAAATATGTGTGCATATATTGCATGAGATGGCTAAATAAGTGCAAGCAGATAATGTTTATGTGAACATCTAAGTACTGATGACTTTAAAAGATTCCATCCTAAAAAATTACATGGCTACTTCAGAATGAAGGAACTGCCCCCAAGGCATTTTCAATCTATTTAAATTAAGAAGCTGCTTCTAAGCATAAATAGGCTATGATTATTTAAATAAATACATAATCAAAACTAGGAACTTGACAGATTTTCTTATTCTCATTTTGTATGTTCCCCCTTCCTTTTTTAGCAATGTTTATGCTGCAGGGGAAATATTTTCCAAATGTCAGTTGCAGATATCATGCTCCACATTTCTAACGTAATTATGTGCTATCACGAATAGATAAGAGTGTGTGAGAAATAACTTCAGTTTCAGAAAATTGTGATCATTAACCTCAGTTTTATTTACCCAAATGTAATATAAAATGGCTAAATGTAGTGAATGTACACAATACTTTTAAAGGTTTTGACGCATAAGGTTAAATACTATTTTAAAAGTCTTTTGTCAATCTACATTGAATGGAGACTTAGTCAAGGTTAGAGAATCAGTAAGACAAGATAATCATGATTAAACTCTGTTTATAACCAGGGTGATGCAGTGGTTTGAGTGTTGGGTTACGAATTCAAAAGACCAGGGTTCAGATACATGTTCAGCCATGGAAACTCACTGGATGACATAGGGAAAGCCATACATTTTCAGCCTTAGAAGAGGGCAGTGGCATTTTGTTAAGAAAACCCAGGACAGGATTGCCACAAATGAAAGTCAGTTCTACAATAGCAATATGAATTTCACTTGATCCATTAAAGGTGATCCATGATTAGCAGCAAGTTCACAAGGATCTCTTCTTTGCCAGTGTCCAATAAGATGGTCCTTGATCCAATGTCATGAAGTGTCAGATGCCAACAATAGTTGGTCCTACCAGTTGTGGCAGCATCAGGAAATGCCTGCACTGAAAGAAGCATATAACCTAATCATGAATATGTGTATGACTTCATATCTAGACACTGGGAAATCATTAACAGATTCCACAGATTCCAACCCATTAACATTGCATATATTCAGTGTGGTACAAACTCATTACCACCACTACTATCATGTAAAACTTGAAAAAAACAGTACATATGGTAATATATGTCACTTAATACAAAACTTGCTGCCCCATTGTCCTAGAAACATATTATAACTAAAAGAACAATCCAATTTGGGACTTAAATCAAACCAGTTAGTCCATTTCTCATTATGTGCAAGTTATGAGATGCATGATACCAGTCTTATAAATGTCCCTCCTCTGCTAATATTATATAACAAAAGGTAGCTAATTCCCCAGGTGTTTTTTTTGCTAAATAAGAAATATATCAGTTCCAAGTATAATTATGAGTTTGTTTGAAGTAATAAAATTCACTAATAATGAAAATGTATCATTCTTGTTTTTCCTTAGCTTTCCCTCCGGTTTTAGAAAGTACTGATGGAAATTGGGTGGCCTTGCAAAATGTCACGTTGCCTCATCCCCGAATGCTTGCCAAACCAAAAAGCCAAGTATTTAGAGTTTTAGAAAATGAATCTAGTGTTGTGTCTGCTTATGATGAAATGGGCTCAGAAAGCGAAGATGATTATGACTGGAATGTGGCTTTGAACAAACTACGCCGGAGGCCGAAGCAGCCGTCAAACCCAGCTGATTCCCCATGCAATACTGAGTGGACTTATGGAAATGAACTGCACCAGCCAGTGACCTCACCTTCATCTGGACTATTTGCCAATGAGACAATGTGCTCCGATTCTGAAACGTCATCCATCAATTCTTCAAGGGAGGCTAGGGGAACTAGCCGTCCTCCTTGGATACAAAGGAGAACTTGTAACAATACATCCCGAGAGGATAAAGCACAATTACATGGAGAGCTAGATGTAAACTTCAATCCACAGACTACCAGTTTAGATTATTCTGATAGCAGTGAGAGCGAGGAAGCCTATCACGACTTAGAAAAGAGATCAAAGAGGTGGAAGAAAAGCAAGGCTCTCTCTGAAGATGTATGTAGAGGCAAAAATCGCACAAAAACACACAAGAAGACTTTGAGCACAAGTCAGGTAATAAGAGGATCAATGAATAAAATATAATATCTAGAAAATAATATCAATTTTCTGGTCTGATGTAGAGGGACAACAGAGTTGTAAGTATGGTCAATGGTGTCCCATCCTATTAATCCACATCACACACATTTTATATTATTGAAGTAACAGTTCCACAGATAGTTTTCCTGAAAGTGCTAAACCAATTTTATCCAATTTGGAGTTGTAAAAGTCACATAATCCATACCAAAATGTGCCCTGAGGATAACATGTTGGAAAGGAGTGTGCTAAACCAGTCTCATACTTTTTTGAATAGTAGAATATGCCACTGCATATTCTACAATACAAATTTGCATTTTATATTTTAGTAATCCTACAAAAAAAGTAATGCAGTCTGATTTCCTGGTGGTGCTAAGTGGTGGCGGCAAGTCTTAGTGATTTTGCCCTTTACTCACACTCTCGAAGTGGGTTGTATGGAAACAACTCTAGAAACAGAATGGTTTTCTTGCTCTTGGTATCCAAGGTGGCATGGAAGTGGAACAGCTATTCATATTTAGCTAAATAGATAGATAAACAATAATAAAACTTAGCTGAGTAAGGGAAAATGGGAATGTGGCATTTCTGAAGAATAGATGATGTTATGTGTGAGGTAAAGAAAAAAATAACGTTTGTGTGCAAATTGGCAAAAGCCACCTCCTTTTCCAACAAATAATTAACGGAAACAAATTAAATTAAATTGACTGCACAAATATTCAGATCTGTTTTGTTTAATTGCATGTCTCCATTATTATTTGTCCCTTCAATATCCACTTAATTTAGCCCCATCAAACAAGGAATATAGATTTCCTTCACTTAGACTGAGCTGGGAAAGTTACCATTAAAAGAATAAATGTAATGAAATATCTACCATCTGTAACTAAACAGTGGTGGGATGTCATTATATTTATTTTTCTTAAAAATATTTCCATCCTCTGCCTTTGACTTACCACTTCATCCCGTTCATTAAATACTACTCAGCCACCCACTTAAGAAACAGCAACCTACTGTGTTCATCAAGTGTAGGGTAGAAATATTTTTGTATTTTAAAAATGTTGCAAAGGGTTATTTTTTCAGTTGATTTCTAACCTGGTTGGCAAGCGAGGGGTTTTTTTTTGGTTTTTTTTAGGGTTTTTTTGCAAATTATCTGGATAGAGATGGGCAAAATGGCCACTTCTGTCATGTGATGGTATTCATCATTCTCAGCTTTACGCAGTTTGTGGGGAAGAGCCAAAATGCCGCTTTGAGAAAAAGCTCCACCATTACTTTTTGCTTATGGAGGAGGGAAGATTGTCAGTATATTGTGTTCCTTTCTGTCTCTTGCACTTTTGGCGGGCCTGCCTTCCTTCCTTTCTTCTTTCCTTCTGTGTGTTGTGTGTGCCACGTGTTACCTCCTCCTCCTCTCCTCCTTTGCCTCCTTCCTTCCTTCTTCCAACATGGGGAAAGAGAGAGAAAGAGAGGAGGATTTCTGGAATGGCGGCCAAGGGAGAGCCCCCAGACAACTCTTTCCCTCCTCCTCTTCCATCGTTTGACCCTAAGGGCCATCTAGTCCAACTCCTTTCTGCCATGTAGCAAAATCACAGTCAAAGCACCCCCGACAGATAGCCATCCTGCCTCTGAATAATAATAATAATAATAATAATAATAATAATAATAATAATAATAATAATAATAACAACAACAATGGAGTTATGTTCCTCGTTTGCAAGTGTTAGTTCCTGTTTAATTGTGTAGTCCTTACCTTGAAAGTAGTTGTTGTGCTTCAAAAACTTTGTTTTTGTGCCCACAAACTATATTAAATTGGTGGAGACTCTACAAGATAATCAATCATTGAGAAACTAGAGCAAAATGTGTTATAGCAGGATGTCCCTTCTGCAAAGACAAACTTTTTGTAGTTTAATAAACTTTTCCCATGTGCTTATGATAGAACCAATTAAAAAATGACATTTATAACCCAGGATCAAAAATCATAGTCCATGAGATGAGGTGTTTCTTTTCACAAAGAAAATGGGGGAGGGACAGTGGGCAGGAACAACTCTCTACAATGTGATGGCAAATCAAATGAGAACTGCTGAATAAAATTGATACTTTACTAGTGTGTGATGGAGGTAGGAAAATCATCCATTTAATTTCAAAACGGAGTATGCCTGAGTTGCGTGGTGAACCACTCTTCCAAACACTTGGCATGTTCAGTGGGATGAAGTCTTTAGAAAGATAGAGAGTAGCACTATTGGTAGTTGATTATAATGGTTATTTTCTCCAACTCAGATACCCTTGCCACCCAGCTCTTTCCTGGCCAGAGTGGTTCATGCACATTTGCAGCCACCATATCTTGCTCCTGCACATTCTGATTCTGAAGTAGTCTGTAACCCTTAAGATAGATGTCCATGGCCAAGCTTTGCTTCAGTCTCCCATGCACCTCCTGACAAGAGCCAGTTGTGTCCAGATTCACCTCTTTCCTCAGTGCCTAACTTGAGGTATCCTTGAAGCAAAGGAAGGGAGATGTAGATGAAGAAATCAACTGTAGCATTTCTCAAGTCACCCCTCCCATAATGCCTTGGCTAGAAGAGCCCCTCAGACAGGCTTAGAAGAGCTTGTTGATCCTGTGTGTTGAGAGATCAATACTGGGTGTCACCTCTTTCTCTGGCAGCAATATATGAATGTAACAGGTGGTCAGGACCCTTGGCTACTGTATGTTATCATCAATTTTGGGGGGAAATTTCTACATGTGAGTGATCTGATTCTCAAACTACTCACCTAACAGTCTTTTCTGTAATTAGTTTGACACTATAGAATTCTAGGCCCCTTGGTGGCACAATGGGTTAAACTGCTGAGCTGCTGACCGAAAGGTTGGTGGTTCGAATCTGGGGAGCAGGGTGAGCTTATACTGTTTGACTCTGCTTCTGCCAATCTAGCAGTTAGAAAACATGCAAATGTGAGTAGATCAATAAGTACCACTTCTGTGGGTAGTAGTGCTCCATGCAGTCATGCCGGCCACATGACTTTGGAGGTGTCTACGGACAACGCTGGCTCTTCAGCTTAGAAACTGAGATAAGCACCACCACTTAGAGTCGAACACAACTAGACTTAATGTCAGGGGAAACCTTTACCTATAGAATACTAGCACCTGTGTGCAATTTGCCATTTCTTATACCCTGCCTCTAGCCATGATTGAAATGAACTCACAATTGTCATGTGCTTGGCCTACGTACCAGAGTAGATGAGGCATTGAATGTGCTTTTTCATTAGTGCAGGATTTTTTTTTTTACTGTTACAGTTAGACTCACAGCAGATCGTGGAGAGGAAATGTAAGTATTTTCTTCCCCAGGAAAATCCCTTCTCTGAAAATAGTACTCACTTCAAAAGGATTTTCTCTGAGTCCACAGAAAGGAAACATAGGCTCAAATAATCCTTCTCATCCTACTGTGTTCCAAATGCTTTTTGCATCCTAGCTAACCCTATTTGTATTTTTGAGAACGTGCATGTTAGATGCAAATATGAATTTAAGAACATCATGAAGTTTGGTTCCTAATAATCCTTCCCAGCTAGAAGAAACAGGGAAGAGGGACAGCACTACAAAGTTAAGTACTACACAGAGTAGCTGGCTTGCCACTCAAGCATTCAGCTAGGGTAACTGGAGTTTGTCACTGGCAAGGAATTAATACAGCTCTTTTTAAATTATTTAAATGTATGTGCATTTCAAATTATTTGATCTTAGCACTGCAACTAAGCTACAATATTCAAGCCAGACAGCATAGTAATGAAATAAAAATAACTTACAGCCAGCCACATAGCAAGCTTAGCATGGAATGTAGGCTTTCATATTATAAATAATATCACTGTTTTTCTTAACTGCTTGTACATTGTGGTAAATCATTATGCAGTAATTTTTTTTAAAGCACTGTATGTCCAACAGGAGAGTTGAAGGGAATGAGAACATGTATTCTAATAAAGCTTATCCTAAGTGATGAACTATAGTCCTTTATTAGGCGATCGCTCATTGTCTGAGTAGGATTGTCTTCCAAGATCGGTGTATTGGTGGTGGGTCCGTAGGTGACTGTGGAGCCCTATTCTTGATCTGCATGTTCTCCTGCAGTGAGGGCGTTGCTTTCAAGGTGGAAGGAGGTCCCAGTAAGGATTGGCTTGACGCGCCTGCCTCTTGGCACGTTTCTTTCGCCCTCCATTCGTGCCTCTTCAAATTCTACAGCACTGCTGGTCACAGCTGACCTCCAGCTGGAACGCTCAAGGGCCAGGGCTTCCCAGTTCTCAATGTCTATGCCAGAATTTTCAAGGTTGGCTTTGAGCCCATCTTTAAATCTCTTTTCCTGTCCTCCAACATTCCGTTTTCCATTCTTCAGTTCGGAGTAGAGCAACTGCTTTGGGAAATGGTGGTTGGGCATCTGGACAACATGGCTGGTCCAGCGGAGTTGATGACAGAGGACCATTGCTTCAATGATGGTGGTCTTTGCTTCTTCCAGCATGCTGACATTTGTCTGTCTTCCCAAGAAATTTGCAGGATTTTTCAGAGGCAACACTGATGGAATTGTTCTAGGAGTTGCATGTCTGTAGATTGTCCATGTCTCTCAGGCGTATAGCAGGGTTGGGAGGACCCTGTGCTTCATTTGGAAAAATGCTGCACTTGCAGAGCTCAGGCGGTGTTGTATTTTGGTGTCAATGTTGACTTTTGGGGAGAGGTGGCTGCCAAGGTAGTGGAAATTGTCAGCATTTTCTAATGTTACACCATAAAGCTGTATTTCTGGCATTGGAGAGGGATTGGCTGGTGATTGCTGGAAGAGCACTTTGGTTTTCTCAATGTTCAGTGACAGGCTGAGCTTCTCTTATGCTTCTGTGAAGGTGTTTAGAGTGGCTTGCAGGTCTTCTTCTGAATGCGCACAGATACGCATCAGCATATTGGAGTTCTATAACAGATGTTGCTGTAACCTTGATTTTGGCTTTCAATCTGCTGAGGTTAAACAGCTTGCTATCTGTCTGATAGATGATTTCCATAGTAGAAATCATATATATAGTAGAACTTTACTAGAATGATGTCTTATTAGTTGGCTCAAAATATATTAGTAGAATTGCTAATACAAATAGCTTTTCCCCCTGCTTCCACTAGGTGGTGCCTTTGCTTAATTTGCTGGCCAGGAAAGAATTCAATTTAAAAGTGCAAACCAACTTGCAGCCTTTATTTTATCAACAATGCTCAAAACATTACTGAGCTCTTTTAAAAACTATTGTGTTCATAGTAATGCTGTTACTAGGAGATAGATAGAATATTTAACAGTGACAGTTTTAATTCAAGTGTACATTCAAGTGTGCAGCTTAATTATAAGATATGAAAAGGTTTAAAGCATTATATGAAAAATGACTGTTGATCCTGGAATGGTAGACCTTCCTACCCACGCCAAGTGGGTCCCGGATATGCCATCTATTGACAAAAGTAGTCTTTTCATAGAATTTGCCATAGCTCAAATGAAGGAGAAATCCTATACCCCGGGCTTCAGAAATCATGCCACTAATGTAGCCTGTGGTGTCACACTGACCATAAACCTTAGATGTTATATTTGGTAAAGGCTCAGTATCTATTTTGCTGCATTTCTTTAAACTCAGCTTTGCTATTATGTCTGTCTTTGCTTCCTCTTGCTTTTTGAGACTGCACTTGAAATTTGCACTTGCAAAACTCATTATGCAAATTCACAAATTAGGAACAATTGATCTAAATTATGCAAGTTTCATTGGTACTGTTCCATTATTTGGGCAAAGCCCACAAGGGGACACTAGAAAGAAGGATAGTCCATTTTACGGGGGGGGGGGGGGGGGGGGGGGGGTGTTAAAGAAAGAAAACAATTTGCACAGTTTTCTCTACTCCCCCTCCCCACTTCCCATGTCATAAACAGGGGTTGTTACCACTACAGGAATATGGGTGTGGGGGGATAACAGGAAAACAGGGAAATTGTTTTCCTTCTTCAACCCTCCCTCCACCCCCATAAAATGGAGTATCCTTCTCTCTCCAGCACCCTTTGTGACCTCCACCCCGATACTGGAACAGTGCTGTTTAATCAATTTTCTTTAGCTCTCATCAGAAGTGGAATTTGAGACCAGGGCCCCATCTACACTGCCATATAATGTAGTTTCATAATGTAGTTCAACTGCATTAAACTACATTATATGAGTCGACACTACCATATAATGCTGTTCAATGTATTATATGGCAGTGTAGATGGACCCCAGCTCTTAGCATGGCCATCTTGACTCTTTTTGGAGGTAGTTTTTTTATTAACGTGTTGAAGGAGCAGGATATGAATTAGCAATTGTTAAAAGAGAAAGCTGTTTCCCATTCTGAGTTTGAGGTAAACTGATGCACGAGCCATTCAGCATGTCTCAGAGGAGTACACAAGATCTACACAGATAACAACAGTAATGTTTCCTGTCATTGAAAATTGGATATGTGCCATATCACATAGTATTTAAAAGCTGCAGTTCAAGATCAAACGTGGAGCTGAGAGTTGTTATAATCTAGATAGAATGGATTTGTCTAAAGCACATACTGTTTAGCAATGGAAACCTATTTCCACCTTATGTATCTGTGCTGGAATCATCAAAGTGATACTTTTATTGATCTCCTGCAGTGTAGAGCAGCTTTTGTATATGCAATTTGATTTTTTTTATTGCTTTATCCTAATCTTTTCTTTCTTATTATTATATAAGGCATCTGAGGATTTATCAGAAACTGACATAAGCAGTGAAGATCAACAGCATCAAACCATGGCAGACCCTTTGGAAGAAAAGCTGAAGTCAAGATTATATGAACTGGCTGCAAAAATGAGTGACAGCAGGGAAACCTCTTCAGAGGAGCAAGTGTCAGAACCTAGAACAGAATCTGAGACTCAGAAATCCTGTGTATCTTCAGAAGATAGTGGTAAATGTGTTCAGGATGAGTTAAAGAAGGTAAGTCTACTTGGTGGATGAACAGCAAATTTCCCACATTTTGATTTACAATGAGCCACTTTTGTGATTGAGCTTGTAATGTCAGAATGATATACAAATAAGAGCCACTGCAATATATGTCATTTAGAGTGTTGGGAGATTCAAGTTGCAGTCCCACAGAGTCATGATATCCACCAAGTGACCTTAGGGCAGTCACCTTCTTTCAGTCTACTTCACAGGGAACTTGGGATGATTAAAATGAAGAGATGGAGATCTATGCGCACTGTTTTCTATCATGAAGGATGGGGTTGGCTGAAAAATGTAATTAAAATAAATAGAATAAATAATGTCTTTGCAAAAGTGTATATTGGAATATTCAATCAAAATCGCCCTCTGTCTTAAACTAGCCACTGGTTATCATCTTTCTCACATAAAAAAGAAACAACTTGAAACAACAGGAGCAGGTAATTTCAGTACTGTCAAAAAAGATGTGAATGGCAGGAACATAGACAAACGGGGCAAGGAAAAGGCTACATAGCTGTGATTCACCTCATCTGATTATGTAGTCACAACTGGGGATGTTGAAGCCAAGTAACAATTAACCTCTCTTCATATTTCTAAGGAACTCATAGTTCCGTGTATGTAACTTACCTGTACTTTCTCTAAGACCTGCACCATTTTTAGCTTAACATTCTGTTTTGTGCATCAAACCTTCATGATTCTGTGTTCATCAACATTTAGTCTTATAACATTTTGACAAGGCTTTCTTCACTTTGCAGTACATTTACAAGCCTATAAATACTAAACACTGTTGAATTAAAAAAAACTAGATCTGCATAGCGTATGTAACTGAAGCAATATTGCAGCAAGTCAACAAACCTGGTGACAGAAGTTAGCAGTTAGCAACAGAGAGCTTTCATAAAACTGGTGGTTTATTTTGCAGGAGTAACCAAATTCATAATGGCAATTAGTATATCTTTCTCCTCCTCATCATCATGATCCTCATCATCTTACATTAGGAGTGAGAAACTTCCCAATTTCAAAGGTTTTCATGAGATGCCTCTGTCTCTCATAGGGGCTGCCTTGTCGCTGGCCAAAATACACAGCCATCACAGAGTTTCCCAACCCTTATACTGTTTTTGCCAAAATGTGATAGCAAATGCAGCAGTTTCTTTACTGTAAAACATCTTCTATTCCAGAAGGGTAAAACCACATGGGGTTCCTTTGGGTTTTTTTAATCACCAGTAATAAAAATATTGATAGCATACTTCTAGTGATAACAGCAAGCCTATGGGCTGCATGTTGTCACCCCCAATCTAAAATATATGTAAGATTACCTGTAAAAGGATTTAAAACAAGACTACTTAAAGACTTGGTTGTTCAAGAAGGCGTTCGAACAAGAAGTGCAATGATTGGTAATGACTATAGGAATGGAACAACGGAAAAGGATACTGGATTGTGGTTTGGATGACGAGACGACACGGAATGGCTTTTGTAGTAATGATGATGTTTTTTGATGATGATGTTTTTGTTAATGCTGGATTGTGGATCATTTTATATTGTGTCTGGAATTTTGAACCTTGTTCTTTCTATGTTGTACACCGCTGTGAGTCGCCCCCGGGCTGAGAACAGCGGTATATAAGCAAAGTAAATAAATAAATAAATAAATAATACTTCTATCCATATATTTATACTCTCAAAAAACAAAATATACAAGGAAAAGGAGAGGAGTAGAGGGTAGAAAAATCTATTTCTTAAATTGCATAATTCTCATAGTGACCAGCTTGAATGGATATATACATAGAAAAGAGAAACTGAATAGCAACTGGTCTCTGAACTGAGTTGCCCTTAGTGATCCTTCTCTCCCACTATGACTATGGCCAGATGGAATGGTTGTAGGTAAGGTATATAGACAGTCAAAGGAGGAAAAGCAGCTGAATTCCTTCTGATCTCTCAAACAGTTGATTAAGCCTACTAGCCCAGTCTCTCTCTCTCTCTCTCTCTCTCTCTCTCTCTATATATATATATATATATATATGTGTATATATATATATATATATATATATATATATATATATATGTAAATTTATGAATAACACAATCACATTATGACTATAGTAATAATATTTCTGGTACTGTAAAAGTTTCCATTTTTCTGGATCACACATACTGTATATATTTGTATTTGAGTCAACTTTATATTTAAGTTGGGGACACAGTTTTGGGGACAAAATTATGGATTTTGATACCACCCGGAAATAAGTCAAGGGACATTCCATGGAGTGGGAGAAAGCGGCAACATCGCCTCAGGGTGTGATGTTGTCATCTCCTTTTCACGAAAGCATTCAAAAAGACATTCAGATAAGGAAATATGCCCTTTTTTCATAAAAGCCAAGATATTGAATAAATTCTACTGTTTCTGCCATTGCACCTCTTCTGGTCATTTTGAATGCCTGGTTGGAGAAAAGATGATTGCAGCCAGGGGAAAACTGGCCTCTTAAGGCAACAGTGTTGCTTTCTCCTTTCCATGGAATGATCCTTGAGTTATCTATGGGTCATATCAAAATCTATAATTTTGGTCTAAAAACATTCATTCAACTTATATATGGGTATACAGGGTAGATTAAACCAATTAAAATAAGCAATGAGAACAATAATTAAAATTGCTGCCGTTAGATGAACAGTTAAAAGCACCAGTGATCCAAAGCAGTTAAAGACATAATAAAGAACATAAAAATACAGCACATGCATCCCACTGAATTCAGCTACCAATTAATGACCACATGCCAACCTAAATAAAACAGCCCTTGCTCTCAAAGTCCAGAAAGAGGCAAGGTTAACAGAATAACCTCCCAAGCCACCATGAGAGCTTATGGGGATGAGGGTGAGGAAAGGTTGATATTATTCACAACTTGCAGCCTGCCTTGAATATTTAATTCCATATAGAAGCTCTAACATATTTCTCTGTGTGACTGTCTTCTTGCTTTCTTTCACTCCATAGCTCTTTTTCAGTGAACTCTGTCCATTATCATCTAATTACTATCTCTGTCTCTCTTCTCTACTTTTCTCAACTGCTCTCCAACTACCTAGGAAAAACAAAAGGCATTTGATCTCCATCTAAAACTTCAGTTTTTAACTTCAGCACTTCAGCAGGTGAGACTGGTCCATTTTGTTGCTGTTAGTGACCTTATACTGTAATAGCACTTTTTGCAGAATCTCATTTTCTGATGGAAGAGAAGTCTCCATTGTCGTACCATTGTCCACCCTCATGTTCCCTTACCCTCTGTTTTCTTTCTTTTCTTTTCTTTTTGGTAGCTTAGGTGCCAACAAAGTGATCTACTTGAACCTCATACCATTTTTAGGGGACATTCCCCTTTGAACGCCATAGGGACAATTAAGAAATCAAGTCAGGTGCCTCCTTTGACCATGTACAAGACCATTTGCCTTTATTCTCAGGGTCTTGGAATATAATGGTCTTGTTGCTTCAGCTGTTGCCCTGTGTGAGGCGTTGTGTATCATACCCAACACAGCATCCATTTTGGGATCTTTCATTCTCTCAAAATTCCAAATATGCCAGAATACTCTTAGGACAGACCATAGGTTGTGAGGTAACATCAGGGGTAGCCATGATATTGCCAATTGATTTAATATGTTAACCATAATAAAACTATTTTATTCCCAGATATGTTTTTGATGGAGAAAGCATGAGATAATATTACATATGTTCCAGAGTTCCCTTGGGCTGCTGCCATACTGCTCTTTGAAGTATCAGAAGGCCACTTCATATTTAGAAACGAAGTCTTCTCTGAAACTTATGAACTTTGACAGTCTTCCTCACCTTCCAAGAACAATCCAAACTCTAGAGCGGCAGTTCTCAAATTCTGCTCAAGGGAGCCCTTGGAGCTCCATGAAGCATACTGATGGGCTCCACAATAGCCCCTTGTGTTTCTATTATTATTATTATTATTATTATTATTATTATTATTATTATTACTACTACAAAGGCTGGGGGCCCATCTGTTGCGGATGCTTTGATTGTGCTTTTTCTGCATGACAGAAGGGGGTTGGACAAGATGGCCCCTTGAGTTTACTGAAATACTGTTAAGTTTATGTTGGTCAAAAAGTTTGTCCTTGTCTCATTGATTGATTGATTGATTGATTGAATAAAAACATTTCTAGAGAATCATTTTTATCCTGCCTTCCAGAATCTATCAACATCAATTAGTACTATGACCATGCATAAACTTATTTATTTACTCCTGGTGCTAGGAATGCCACTGGATAGTACTCTTTTCATTTGTTGCATGAGTCACTCTGCTAGATCCACTTCTTCTGAAAAACCTGATGGCTGTGAGTTCCTATATCCTGCATAGTACAACATGCCTCAATTCTCAAAATTTGGAAACCAAAGCTTAAGCAAAGGACACTAAATCCAGATGATTGCCTTCTCCAAAGTAGACTCATTGAATCAATGGAAAGTGGATGAATTAACAGGTTCTAAGGCTAAATTACAATGTTTTAGCCAGTGTTCTATTGTGTTTTGAGACTGATGCTTGGATTTGGCCATGAGGAACTAATTTATAGTACACCCAATTATTTATCTATCTGCTGCGATAGGCAATGGCTCATCAGGTACTTGGGGATAGAATTAAGTGTCCTCTACAATCATAGTATGTGGTCTACCACTGAATTGTGTTCCTTCTCTAGACTTACCTTTGTACCATCTAATAAAAGTAAGTTGAAAATACAGCCAACTAAAGTCAACAGCACTTGAATTAATTACAGTTAAGCCACCTTGTACTGCTCTGTTTTCATTCACATATGCTGGTTTGTGCCCATTTTGTTTTTGTGTTGTAGTTTAACTTGGTTTTATTCTTTTGTATCAGTTTCAGATGTCTAGAATCTATATTAATTGGGAAAGTTGGGTGAGAACAAGGTCTTTTCTGCCTTTCTGACAAGTAGGAAAAATGCTGTCTATATATATATCTCCACTAGAGCCAGTAACAGGGATTTGGAACAAATTGTTGCAGTGGAACATGTGCAGGATTACAGCTAGCCAAACAGAAAGCCACATTTGTCTTAAGGACACTTCATTCCATTCTGTTTTGCCCTATCACTGTTTTCATTTTTCTCCAACAGCTGATGCCCACTGAGCATGCTCAGTTCGCACTGAACTGTTTTTGTAGCCTTAGAGTTTTTATCTAGAGATTTATTTGATTCCTCCAAACCTTGAGGAGCAGTTTTGGTAACTGCAGGGTTTTAAAGTCATGAGTTTGATACTCATTTATGTCATTAGAAACTAGCTGGCAAATCATTTTATCATGAGGCTAATAGTGTAGTATGAAGAACCTGGTAATGTATTAGCAGTACAATAAAGCAGTACAATAAAGTCTCTCTTATCCAACATAAACAGGCCAGCAGAACATCGGATAAATGAAAATATCGGGTAATATGGAGTCTCCTATTGTTACCGGTCCACAACAGCTCTAGACACCTAGAATACAACAACAGGGACTCAGAGGGTTAAGGCAAGGCCACACCTCAGGTCTAGAGCGTCCCAGCAGGAAGTGCCCGTATGCAGAAGAGGAGCATGGAAATCACAGAGGGAAGGAAGGTGGACGCTTCTGCTTCCCATCATGCCTCTTTCCCCCCTTTCCTCCCTCCTCTTTGTCTTGCCTTTTTCTATTATTGGGAATTAAGGGAGAGTTGGGGGAGTGCTCCTTTAATTGCAGGGGAAATGTTGAAAGAAAAGGGGGGTGTCAGATAAGACAGAATGTTGGATAAGCGAAGGTTGGATAAGCGAGACTCTATTTTTGTGAAGCCTGTAATGGATTGTGTAGCTTCAATACTCCTTTATCAACATGTAACATGTTGCCAGTCTTTAGATGAAGGCAACATATATTGATTGACAGACAACCACACAGTTCTGAATTGTTGATGAAGCATCTTAAGAGTGGTGCCTGCAATATTTGCATAGTCTTTTAATGAGGACCAGAGCCATTAGCAGTAGAAGCAGTTTTCCATGTGGCTAATATTGATTTGACATTTCCTGAGAGGAAACATAAGGTACTTCATACATAACAGTTGGATCTAAAGTCTTAGGATTCTACTAACACTAAGCTAGGTCCAAATTTTAAAGACAATTTCCAATATTTTTTTCAGTTCCTTTGATTTAAATGTCATTAATGTAACCACAGCTTTAAGTTGCCTACTGAAACCAGCAGGAGTTAAAATGGATCATGTTACTAAGAACAATTAAAGCCCTCTGTTTCATTTATCTCTCCATGTGGCAACCCATTGCACTATTTATGGATAAGCACTGAACATCCTGGATGTGTGCATAAGATTGCTGCAGAATGCAAATGTATTACACTATTTACCTTGCATTTGTTTTTAATTAGGATTCACATGCAAATACATGTTTTCCATTCACTCACCTTCTAATGTAAGTAATTCTTAATTGGTGCTCAAGAGCATCAGCCCAGTTGTCTTGGCAACAAGAATTCTGTACTCACATCCTTCTTGCCCTTTTGAGCTCTTCCAAAAAAAACTGAAGTGCAGAATTGATGTGTGGGATGTGAAAATGTGCATCAAAGTGGGAACACTTTCGATGCATCTCTATCGCTCTTCAATTCCTGTGCACACAAATACAACATCTGGCCAATTGAACTGTTATTGTGCATATCAACCACTTCAACCCTCAGTACTGTTACCTTACATATGCAAATTTGGTAGTTTGCAGTGTGCATCTCTAGGTAGGGCAACAAGGAAATACATTAGATGCAGCTAACTTAACAACAAGTATAGGTGTGTTTCTAGCAGATCTGTTAACTGCAAGCTTGTTGAAGAACTAGCTGCTCAGCCAGAGCAGAGGGGGGAAAGAAGAAGGATCTTACTTTCTCTCTCAGGAAAGCCTCAGTTGGAAGAGAGCAACCAAACTGCCATTCTTACATACTTAACAAGATACAAGCAGATTTTTTTGAGCTCTGTGAACTAACAGCCAAAGGCTCACAGACTGGCATTGCTCCACGAACACACAAACACACACTATTGAGAAGCAGTGCTGGAAGTAAGCTCATCATCAAAACAAAAATCATTAGCCTTTCAGCTGGAAACTAGAATAGATTGAAAACACTGATGTGAAGGAAGAAAGCAGTGAAGGCTTTAAAATAAGTGCAATTTTCTGGGGTGTTACATACATGGAAACCTATTCATGTGGGGTGGTATTTCAGAAGGAAGAGTATCAACTCTGACAGCAGGACTGCCTGCAAAGATTTTTAAGGGATGCTAGCATGTGTTTCCAGAGCAAAATTAATCAGCAATTTCCACAATTAATGCTGGTGATTTGGGGTGATTTGAAATGTTTTTAAAGCAATACTTTTGGGTTGGAAAGATTAGCCGCTTACAAGAAACTTTGCCCAGGGGACACCCAACTGTATTTACTCAGTCTTCGAAGAGGCTCTTTCCGTGTCCCCCTGGTGTTCCCTCTATTTTTATCAGTTTTATACTTATTTGTGCAATGTTTTTGACACAAAGTAAATAAATCAATATGGGGTGATCTGGCTAGAGGTGTGATTCTGTTCAGCTGTACTTACAAATTCCACAAACGTCAGTCATTGCTCTATTTGCTTGACAGACAAACAGAGCAGACTTGACAGCTGTCCTTTAGAATCACCTGTAGGAGTTAAATATGCCTCTCCTTCAGCAGTAAGAAGATTTAGACATAATAAATTGCAGTCAAAGGGGTTTTTGAACACTATTGGCCAACCACCTACTAGTCTGACCTTTCTCTGCACATGTGTATGAATATAAAAGAATCTATATCCATCCATCTCAGTCTTACTTCAGAGAGAAATAAACTGAGTTTGCTCTTGATTCAGGGTTCTGACGTTAACCTTAAGATGTGTTGTTTTCCATTCTCTGGCTGATTGGAATAACAGGCTGGATAATCAAGAAGTTAAAGCAGAGCATCCTTGAAGTTCCTAAAAATCATATTGCAGAAATTGCAGAAATTGATTTCCTGCCCATTGCCTTTCTCATCATTTTATGTCTTGTATCCTGTCTGCACTGTTTGTCAAGGTTTCCTGAACCAGCCTTATTAGATAAGGTTAACCACTTGGATAAATCCTGGCTAACAAAAGTGTTAGCCTGGA